ACGACGTTCCAACTCACATTCTCAGAAGACTCAGAATCAAGATGTAGAGAAGAACCAATGCCGTGAATGCAAGGGATTTGGACACTTCCAGAAAGACTGTCCGAATTTCACGAGGAAGAACAAAACCTATCGAGCCACGTGGGATGATGATGAAGACGATGATGACCAGCAACACACGAACAAATTTGCCGTCACTTCTCTCAATAACTTCACGTGTTATACAGCCTCTCATAAGCCTTGTGATGCCGATTCAGGTATGTGTTCTTACACGTATAATTCTCATAGTGATTCTGATGATTCTGGAGATGGTTCTGTTGAAGTAGATTTGGCTACCCATAAGCTTGCATTAGAGACGAGCATCAAAGCTGGAAAAATGGTGAAAAAGCTACAAGCTCAAGTCGAGGTGTTCCAACATCGTTCTGCAGAGCATGAGAAGGAGATCACCTACTTGAAGGATGAACTTCAGAAAACTCGCATGATGAATGGCGAACTGAATGATAAGCTGACCAGATCTGATGTTCATACCAGCAAGGAGGAACATAAGCTGGACGAATTTGTTGCCAAAATCACGATGTTAGAACATGAACAGAAGTTGTCCAAGCAGGTATGTGATGAAAAGGTTTTTATCATTGAGTCTCTACGTAATGAAATGTTTGTCTTGCAGAAAACTATAGATGAAAGGGAATCCGAGATTGTTGCACTCAAAAGAGAACTCGGTCGAGTGATGGAAGAACATGTAACGCTCAAGAGTTATTGTTCTACAATGGAGGAGAAACTCAGCAAGAGTGAGGAGATTGTCAAGATGATCAACAAGCCCAAGTCCTCATTTGCTGAAGTTCAAAGGATGAGTCAACAAATAGGTACTTCAGACCAGAGTAAGAACGCTCATGATCAAAAACTGAAAGGTAAAGTAGGCGAACCTAGCACATCTCTGAGTAAGTCAGACCTGACCTTTGTCAAAGAAGGTTACAGCATTGATGGTAAGAATGGTAAGCCTAACTCTACTAAAACTCAGCGTAAGAATTCTGGTAAGAACTTTGTGCCTGTTTGTCACTATTGTGGTATCCGTGGTCATATTCGCCCTAAGTGTTATAGGATGCATAATGATATTTATACTGGTCGAATTGATGAATGGAGTCCATATGGTGTACCCTTGAAAGCACCTAAACTAAAGGTTGATGTGGTTAATCATGAACAGAAAAAGATTTGGGTTCCTAAAGGCAGTAAGAACGTTTGCTTATCTTCTATACTTGCATTGAAATCCACCTCTAATTCTGATTGGTATTTTGACAGTGGTTGTTCTCGTCATATGACAGGTCTAAAATCTAACTTGATTAATATTTTGCCTGTTCCTTCTAGTTTTGTGACCTTTGGTGATGGTGTTATGAATAGAGTTCTCGGTATAGGATGTTTGAATGTTCCTGGATTGCCCAAACTTCAAAATGTTCTTCTTGTTGAAAATTTGAAAGCGAATTTGCTGAGTGTGAGTCAATTATGTGATCAAGACTTTTCTGTGAGTTTCACCTTGAATGAATGTTTGGTTTCAGATAGGAATAATAATTGTGTTCTTACAGGGTCTAGATCGCATGATAATTGCTATTTGATTGATTATATGACTTTTGACTCATGTGATACGAGTTCTGGTATTATTAGAGATTGTGATGCTGATAGGGATGAGAATGTTGCTGTTCAATGGAGTACGTCTGACGGATGTTCTTACACCGATCAGAATTTTGTGGCTGAAACTTGTTGTTCAGAAAAGGTGTGGATGAAGCACATTTTTCTTAAATTTGGAACTGAGGTACAAGCCATTGACCTTTTCTTTGACCTTACTTATGCGGCTAATGTTTCCAAATATTCTGTTCAACATTCTCTTAATCGTACTAGCATGCTATGCCACTTTACTAGAAATTTGGTTGATGATGGATTAATTGTTCATAAATATGTTCCAGCACATAACCTTGATGCTCAAAGATTTATCTCTCTAAGGAAATCCTTAGGGATATGCATTCTCTGATTGCTTGCATGCCATTATATTATATTGTATTGTATATTAGTATATATATTATATTTGCATTGCGTGTATGCATATAGGGTATTATTTGCATTAGGCATGCCTTGCATTTTTGCATATATTTCACCACTAAGTCATAAATGAAGTTCTGACTCTTCTGAAAGCGGGTGAGATGTTGATTGTCTTTAATTGATGGCGTGTTCTTGCATACCTTGGAACAAATATAATTCTGTCAAAAAGAGCTGCCTTCACACAATGATCTAGAGCGATAGCTAGCACATGGTTCGTTTCCTTTGGGATCGACTGTGAAAAGAGCGTCATGGACAGAAAATGTTGTGAAGGGTGGTAGCTATTGACAACCACTGCACTTCATTGTGTGGTGTTTTTACTTGGAGTTATAAGGTGGTCATCTTCATAAAAAACGTAGTGCATAATGATTTAAAAAAAAAAAAAAAAAAAAAAAACGAGTTCTTACACCGAGCATTGGGGCAAAGTAGTGGGGTTGACTTTCACTATTGCAGTGATTGTTACTAAGTGAAAAGCCTCGATGTAAATTAATGTTGTTGCTTAAAAACATTGGGCAAAGTAATGGGGTTGACTTTCACTATTGCAGTGGTTGTTACCAAGTGAAAAGCCTAGTGAATAATAAAGCTTATGTTGTTTTGGTGTTGGAATTCTGGAGAGATATGACTTGCGCTACATATACATATATCTAATAATACCGCCTCTGTTTTGTTCCTTGGTGTGTTTGTAGCACAATGTTGATTTTGGATTAATTATGCATCAATCCTGTCTAAGTAGATTAAGAAAGGATTTTATTGATTTTAGTGTCTTGCATGCGGTTTTATTTTTATTTTTTCATCCTTAGGCATAATGCATGTGATTTCCTTCTTGAGTGAATTACTTGGACATTAAAAAATTGTGAGGGGATTTATTTTTGGATGATAAAATCTTATTCTTCCTAATTTTGAATTAGTTGGACACGTATGTTAGTGTGTTAATGGGTTTGTGTGTTCAGTTTTGATGGGGATGTTCTTGCTGCATGGTATTCAACCTTTCCCTTGATATTTTTTTTTCGAACCTCACCCATCACGTCCTCTCTATATATCTTCATTTCAGAACCTGAGAACCCCATTTTTTATTTCTCTTTCTCTTTGAAGTTTTCTTTTAACCATCTGTGTTCCTGCATCATTTTCTAATGTGCTTCTGAAACACTTTGGCTGATGGCAAAAGACTAGAGAAGAGATGGATAGTCTTCAATGATTATAGATCAGTTCAAGCAACGACTTTCGTCTTCGGTTGTATTTGTCTTTCTCTCTCTCATTCGATGTTCTTACTCAGGGGGAGATTTGCCTTTGGATGTTTCTGAAGATGTTGGGGATAATGTTCTAGTTGTTTGCTTCTGATTATATTGGTTGCTGTTTTTTGACATGTTTCTGCAAGATGTAAGAACGTCTATGTCTTGCTGCTTGATTGTTTTGACTATTCTGACAGGGGGAGATAAATTAGGTTCTGATAGCTTGATGTGTTTTGATTGCTCTGATTATAGTCCTCTTAGTTGCTTTGATAGGAATTACCATCGTCGTTTCTTCACATGGAGGACGGTGGAAAAAGAACACGGGTACAGGCCCTTCGGCATCCCGTAGTTCGAAAAAGGGGGAGATTCAATAGCTGAGAAGTTAGGGGGAGATTCAATAGCTGAGATTGGTTTTTTGTTAGAACCTCTTATGACTTTTCTTTTGTGTGGCTGCTGTTAATACTTGTTGTGATTGGTAGGATGTTTGCTCTGATTGTTTTATGCTATGTGCGTCTAATGAGTTGTAACTGCAGGTACTTTATGGATTGTGTTCTTACTGCAGTGATTTGTTCCTTATGATATTATTCTGCATATTCGTGCTTGCTGTTCTAACTGTGTTTCAGGTTATCTTCATTATATGATTTTCGAACTAGATGCCAAAGGGGGAGATTGAAAGAGTTATATTTTTGGCAATGAAGTTCAAAAATTAATATAAGTGAAGATATATTCTTGCAAGCATGAGAAATAAAAAGGGAAGTTCTTTTATTTATATTTATATTTATATATTCGAATATATTTATATTTATATTTATATATTCGATTTATATACATATATATTAGATTTACATGATCTTATTATGGATATATTTTGTAGGAAATCATATAAGAAGGAAAGATCTTTGGAAAGAGAAGATAGAGATCTACACCTACCATATCTCTTATGATTTACATGGAAGGAAATTGGATAAACTTGGAAGGAAATCAAAAAGGAGTCCTATACTTGGAGAACACTCCACATCCTAGGGATTGTATATATACCTGCTTGAAGAACGAATTTTGGAGAGCTGAGAGCATTATATTCTATTCCATATTCGAGCTGCAAGCTTTTTGTGTTTTATTTTCGTTGGTCAGTTTTCGGTGTTCTTACGTCATCGAAGAACTGAAGTCTGTTTTGTTTTCTTTTCTTTGTTTTTCATTCAAACACTTGTGTGATCAGTGCTTAGGGATTAAGTACTGTCTTTAGCTCGAGGGATTCGAGAGGTAAAATCCACGGGACGTGGTCGGAGAAGTAGTTGATAGAATCGTGTGTAGTTGTGGCTAGGCTAGAAGGGAGTTCGAGTCGTGTAAGTCCAAACTATACAAGTGTGCACAAACGGTTTATCAATGAAAGAGCTCTGAGGGGAAGTGGGACGCTTCCCTGAAGAGTTTTTAAATCTTCGATTTATTGCTTCCGCATTTTATAATTTTTGTTTTAGTTCGTACTACAAGTTGAGCGTACTCGTTACAAAATACCTACGTTTCAGTGTAACTTATCAAAGCGACACTTATAAACCAAAAAAAGAGGAGATATCAAATAAGGAAAAAGAATCTAGGTAACGGTTTGACTTTGTAAAAGAAAAGAAATCCGCAAAGTTAAGTTATAAACAGTAGCGTTTTCTAGGTAAACGATTTTGGTAACTAATTTAATTTGAAAAAAGAAAAGAAACGAAAAGAGTATGATTTGATCAAATAAAATCCGCAAAAAACCGAAAAAGAAAAAGGAAAATCTCTCTGTCTAAAGTCGACTTTACTACTCGACACAGTAGCCGAGAAGGATGGCCGGCACGGCGGTGACACCGCCGCCAGCGGCCGGAGTTCCAGTGACCGACGGCGCAGTCGCCCTGAAATCCAGCTTGAGCGCTTCGGACTGGAACTCGTTCCGCATGTCAGCCGTCATGGACCGTTTGCTTGGTCATATTTACGGCAACCGCAAGAGCGAGACAGTCGAATTACTAAACCTCTGCCTTTCCCTCGCTAGGTACTGCCCTTTACACTCGCAGTTTCCTATTTTTTATCGTGCTTACTGGTTTATTCGATTGATTGTGGATTTTACTTTTGAGAGTGGCTGCTGTATTTTGCTTCCGTTCCTTAAAATCTATCCAAATATGATTCGCGTTCGTGTTGTATTTTATGTATTGTGCTTGCAGATGTTGAATTTCTCGATCATAGTGAGATTCTAGAGGTCCTTGTGGTTGGGTTTTATGGCTCAAGCCTCATGGGTTAGCAATTAAGCAGACATGTTGAAGTTGAACTAGCTTAGCTATGCTAAATGGGTAGTTTATTGTGCATATCTAGGTTAATTTTTAGTTTGGTGCATAGGCGACAGTTGTACATCTGGGGAATGGTACTCTGTTTAACCTGTCCCTCTAAATGTGGGCAATTTGCTTCTTACTCAAGCAGTATGTATTGTTATTCAATTTGTGGGGGTCGAGTTCATTATTGAGGCATTTTCCAAGATTGCAAACAAATGGGCAGTTTGTTTAGGTTTTCCCTTGTTCAAGTGAACTAATATTGGTACAGTTAGCACTTAGCTATTGGTAATTGTGGTTCTTAATTCTTATCCTTTATCTTCCTTTCCCCACAGCAGATACATTTCCTCTTTAATTGTTCTTTTGCATCAAAGTTATCTTTCTGAGTATTATTTATCATACAAATGACTCAATTATTAGTGGGGTATTCTTCCATTTCGATTCATTGTTTTGGTTGGTAACTCCATATGTTCCTTGCCTAAAGCAAAGATTCTCCTAAAAGGTAAACATTTTGATTTCTTCCTCCTATTTTGTTTTCCCAATCCTTCTCTCTCTCTCTCTCTGGAGACTGGTCATGGATAAGCTGCTCTATTACTTTGTCGGTGATTACTGATTACATGGCATTCCATGTAGTTCATGCGACGGTTCTTCAGAAACTTGTCAAATCTTTAATTTTATGAATTTAGTTTTGGACAATTTGGTTTGTGTTAGCTACCGTGCGACGATTAAACATAGACGTGCTGTTTTGTCTGAATGGATTTTATGAGTACAAGTAGATAATCTCCGTCAGAATGTGTGAAATGCGTGTCTGGTTTATTGCTGAACCCGTGAAAAAAAATCCATGGTCCCCGTGTGTGACTTGAACTACCTTATATTCCCGCTGCCCTCTTGCGGTGAATGTCTAATTTCCTGGTTTGAGGAAAGAGGCTATCTACCACCATACTTGTTTACCATTACTTGAGGTGGTTGGCTGTGGAAGGTGACCAAAAATATGAGTTTCAGTCTATATGAATATTATCATCCTTCTGTCATTTGTTGTGGCATACCATGTGAGCCAGAAATACCTTGTTATTAAAGTTTTATGGGTCCGATCCATCTTGTGAGTTAGGTTTTGGATTTGGTCAATCAGCAAACCATTATCTTTGGTTCATCTGCAGCATACTCTCATATGATTTCTAGGGAACTGTATACATTACTTTTGTTATATACATCATATGTTTTTGGCGATATTTGTGTTATACTTATAATGTATTTTTACGATGCAGAAGTATTGATTTTGCCATTGGAAATAATGAGGTTCCAAGCAGATCTCCAGATCTGCCTTCATTAGTGAAGAAGGTAATTATGCATAACTTGTTTAATTATTCAGACATTTCTAAGCACTTGAAATATAAGTTTCATAAAATGGTTGCAAAATTATAAAGATCTGACATGCGAACATACAAGGTTCTTATTATTTTGCTTGGACTTATATGTTTTCTTCTTGGAATGAACCATGATCAAGATACCATGGAAAGCCCCTTTTAATTATTCTTTCATTTCTGAAGCTCAGTAAGCGAGCATAAGAAAAAAAGAAATGTGTACATCCTCTTAGTTCATGTATTTAAATAAAATTATTTGCAATACTAAAACCAGAAATAGATCGGGATGTATGGGATCTTTCAATCCTGCTATATAAATAGTCAAACCCAGAAAACCAGATCTTCCATGGCTTGTGTAAAAAAGAATCCGATCTCATATTTCAAAGACAAACATATAACTAGAACCTGAAACCACTGCTTCTTCTGACATATAATAAAGCTGAAGTGTAGACAATGCAGGACTAAGCATAGGTAATGGTTTATAAATGAAGATTTTATTTGTTGATTTTGTTTGTATTACCATTGTATTTTCAGTATTCACTCAGTCATGCTCAGGTAGCTTTGTCCAATGATGTATCACCCTTAATCTTATCTTCAGATGTTCAACAAATTGATAATTATTTTTTGTCATTCACGTTTTAACAACTTTACACATTTAGGTATGCCAATATAAAACTGACAGCGTCCTGCAAGCATCAATAATGGTCCTGATGATTTCTGTCAAGGTAATTTCTCTGATCCAGCCTATCTTTGGCATGACATTCTGATTTTGTCCTATAGTATGGCTTTCTAACATACCCTCTTAAAAGTTTGCGTTGCTATGCGAGAATGTATCTCTTGACATGTTTTTATCATGAGACTGTTATTGGGACATGATGTAAAAGTAGTTTTGCCATTTTTGTAAAAGCTAATTGGTGGTCGGACAATTATGAAACAGTGGAAAGAGAATCCATCTTCACAGATACTTGTGCTTAAAGGTCCTGCTAATATATCCGTGTTTATTATTTTATTTACAAAATTGAAATAACCACTTAGAAACTCATCTGGTGAATCAGTTAGAGCACTTCACTTTTATGTGGGTTTCTTCATTTTCTTCATCTGGAGTGAAGGTAAACTTTATTGTGGTTTTTTGTGACGGTATTTGACAGAGTGCTTGTCAAACTGGGTGGTTTTCTGTAGCTGATTCTGACGAGCTTAGCAATCTGACGAAGGAGGTGGGAGAACGTTTTTTTATTTGATTCTGATGATTTTTTAGCTCCTGGGTTCTATATGCAATTTTCTAGTTCTTTTAATACATTCTGTTTTCCCTCTCCAGATTGAAACCAATTTTTGCAGCGTGTCAAACTGTAACAATCAGCCAGATCATCATCTTTCTGTCATCTCAACAATCATGTCAAGGTATGCTACGTTACTCCGCATATGCTGTTTGTATGGACAGATGTTATTGTTCTTATTTATTTTGTGAAAGCTCCAGTTTGTGTAGTGGCCTTCCTTTAGACTCTGATCCACAGTCAAATTTTGATTTTTGATATCTTGGAGTTAATATTTTTTCTGTATAATTGGTCATGATGGCTGTAGTGTACAAGTACTAACCTTCACATTTGGGTTTGGTTTGCATGGACAACTTCATTGGTTCATGCATTCTCACTCTCTGCTGCTTGCCGGATATTTTCATTAAGTTCTGATTAGATGTTTATTAGTTAAGCCGTTTTGGGTAAAAAGATAACTGGAAAGAGCAAACAGACGTTTGTCTGTTTTATTTTCTGTGAGCTTCAGAGGATCTGATGTTATGTTTTTTACCAATTACTATGTTATATTCATTTTTCATATTAAAACTTTATGAGAATTTTATAGTTGATGTGTTTATAGTAGCAACTTAGAAGAAAGAGTTCCATATGACTACCAAGTGAAATAGTGAATAAAGATGACTTTCTCATTCTCTGATGCCCCCCCCCCCCCCTCTTCTTTCTCTCTCTCTCTCTTTCTCTCTTAGTGTGTGTAATATTTGGTTGGATTCAAACTTTTATCTTTCAACTGAAAATTATCTGGCATTGAATATGGTGCAGATTCTACCCAAGAATAAAATTGGGTCATATTTTAGCTCTTCTTGAAGTCAAGGTAGTTTTTTTCCTTTCCATTCTTGCATTCATGTGATCTGATGTTTTCCTAATGCTAGTACTGGTTTCTTACTGTAGCCTGGATACGATGCATATGTGAAGGACTTCCAGATTTCAAAAAATATAAGTACCTCTCCCCAAGATAAAATAGTAAGCATGTTCAATCATTACTCTTGTTTTTGTTTAGTTATATAAAGGGAATTACCTTTCAGTATGACAACTGGTCGTCATCTGATTTATTTTGTGGCGGATGCTGTTTTAACTTAAATTTGTTGCTACCGAATAATTTATATAAGTGGGTGGTCCCTGTGGCCATATGATTGAGTTCCTTTTTTTTTTTTCCTTTCCTTGTGCATGAGTCTGATTGGTCGCCATATCTGAAATATTTTGTGTTGGTTATTGTTCTGATTACTGGGGTATCTTTGATAGGAGTGAGTAACAGATTTAGTGTTTACCATAAAATTCATTATTGACCATTGGTGTTACAGTTCAGATTTTCCTGTACTTGTAGTGTTTCCAACAACTCATTTTCACTTTAAGCTCCTGAAGATGATAGGTGAGGTTAGGGACCCTTAATTTTCGTTGCCTGTTCATCTTATCATTCTTTCTTGGCTGCAGAGGTTACTTGTCGTTCAAACTGATAATACTGAGACTTCAGCCTGTCTTGTTAGTCCTGCCAAAGTAAAGTAAGTCATATCTCGAGTGAAAAAGAAATATCTTCCTTTGCACTGAGATCAATCAATTCACATACTCTGTTTGCTGTGCAGCTTCCTGTTGAACGGGAGGGGAGTGGAGAGGAGGACCAATCATTCCCTGGTTTGTGCTGGTTAATTAATTATTAGAAATATGTGCTTCTACTAAATGTTTGCATAAATATTCTACTAATAAATATCTTTTGGTTCTACCAGGATACAGGGCCGCAAATCCCAACTATTGTTAATAATTTGTTGAAATATGGAACAAATCTCCTTCAGGCTGTTGGTGAATTTAATGGTACTCTTGGCTCGAGTTTCCTCGTCCAATATTTCTGTTTTTAGTTTTGAAACATTACAAAGGTTCTTAGTTCTTACTACGTGTATTGGTCTTCTGAAGGAAACTATTGTATAGCCATTGCTTTCATGAGTGAGGTGCCAAATCCTGATAATAACACACTCCAAGATTACGAGCAGCATGCTCCTGCAACTGTTGATGCAGGTGACTCCTTTGAAAAGTTTCTTAACGTTGGACTTAGAATATCTCATCGTCATTATTTTTTCTAAACGAGCTGGCAGTGGTCCATTATCTGATGGAGTAAGTCATCTTTGTTTGCTGACTTCAATTTTGTTTTTTCCTTCCTCTATTTCTTTTTGCTCGATAGATTCGGAAATAATTGTGGGGCCTTCACGAATCTCATTAAATTGTCCTATAAGGTAACTCTTTAGACTTAGTGCTCAAGTAACAATTTCTTTTCATGCCAGTTCTAAATCTGTATAAGCAGCCTATTTAATTCCGGTGCATCAAATCCGGCTGCGGCTTGGATGTTTTTCTGTTTTGTTTATCACGTTCTTAAATTATGTCAGCTTCAAGAAAATCAAGACGCCTGTAAAAGGACATTCATGCAAGCATATTCAGGTAACTGCAAGCATTACACAGTTGAAATCAATGTGTACTAATTTCAAGTGTGAAATGTGATCCGCACTTCTAGTTTCATTTATCATGATCAGTTGCTGCAGAAAACATTCATTCCTCCTCCGATGCATTTCCGGTTCTAATTATATTAAATCCAATTTGTCTTCTTATAAGCAAGCATACTATTGTTTTGTCAGTGTTTTGATTTCGACAATTACGTGGACATAAATTCACGAAGACCTTCCTGGCGCTGCCCGCACTGCAATCAACACGTCTCCTTCACCGATATCCGCATCGACCAGAAGATGTTCAAGGCAAGTCTTCATGTCCAGCAAAATTGCATTTTTAGTCCGCCATAACAATTTTAGTCCCAAGGTTCCAACATTTTTCTTTTTGGTCTTGCGATTTAATATTTTGCTGCAATTTCAGTCTTTTTGAGGACTGAAATTGCAACAAATTTCTAACTTCCCAGATTTTCGATTAGCAATTTAAGTCCTGGAATTTAAAATTTTGTTGCAATTTCACACTTGTAATTGAAAATTTTGTGCATGTGACTTAAAATCAGGACCAAAAGGCGAAAAGTTGGAATATTGGAACTAAAATTGGTACGACGTCAAATCAACATGACTAAAAATACATTTGTGCCTGCGCGTGTAATTTAATAAATCCCCATGTGATACACGCACACATTCATAAAATCCACGTGTATATTTTTATTTCCGCAGATTTTAAAAGAGGCTGGGTCCCATGTCTCTAACGTGACCATCTCATCTGACGGCTCATGGAGCGCCACCACAGCCGAAACTGACGACACCACTCAAAAAAAACCGGACGATGTGGCCCCGAACTTGGGCCGGGACGAGTCCCCGTCGGGACCCGCTGACATACTCGACCTCACGGAGATTGATGATGTCATGAGTGAAGTCACCCCTTCGGAAGCTGAGGACGCAAAGCAGCTTTTAACCGCTGCACAAAACTCGATGTCTCGAGCTGGTCAAGGCAGCAGCGCCCAAGATGACTTTTGGTCCGCGGTTTTCCTCTCGACTTTTGGGAATGTCCCGTCTAACGCGAGACCAAGCAGTCTAAACGTCTTGACTGCAGTTAGTGAAGGTGGTGCTCTCAACGCAATCTCTGGGCTGTCACCTAACGGGACGCCTTCACCAAATGCGCTGCAGTTCCAATTCGGGAACACGAATGACTATGGGAGGATATCAAATTCAACACTGCTTAGGAATGTGACTCGGGTACCGGTTGGTATTCAGGCTCTTCCTGTTCAGAACCCATCGTCTGCACGGAGCTATACTAACAGTGGGAATATTATGAACACTAATAATCGTCCAGCAGTTTCGCAGGTTTCTCCAAATTATTCGACGGCACCTGTCGCGCATATACGTCAGGGCTTGCCAGTTTCTTCGTCTCCTTCGATGCAGCATTCAACTGTACAGGTAAAAGCTGATACAGTCTTTTTCAGTTGAACTACCAAAAGAAAAATAATCTCACATGGCCATCGTAAGGCGAAAATGCATTTTTAGTCCTTACAGTAATTTTAGTCCCAAGATTCTAACTTTTCGATTTTTTGTCCTGTAATTTAATATTTTGCTGCAATTTCAGAATAAATTACAGGGTTTAAATTGCTAATAAAAAATCTGGGAATTTGTTGCAATTTCAGTTCTTTTAAGGTCTGAAATTGCAGTAAAATATTAAAATATTAAATCACAGGACTAAAAAGGCAAAATGTTGGAACCTTGAGATTAAAATTGCTAGGACTGAAATTGCAGTAAAATATTAAATCACAAGACTTAAAGTGCAATTAAAAAATCTGGGAATTTGGGAATTTGTTGCAATTTCAGTCCTTTTGAGGTCTGAAATTGCAGCAAAATATTAAATAACATGACCAAACGGCGAAAATGTTGGAACCTTGAGACTAAAATTGGTATGGCGTATGAAAAATACATTTTTGCCTTCATCGTAATTAGAAATACCCGTTGCATCTGTTTTACTTTTACAAATCGGGACGCTAAAGGGTAGCGTATTTATATATATATATATATATATATACATCAAATCAAACGAATGTTTCAACGTTGTGAGGGGTGTGTATTTCCAATTTTCGGAAGATCATCCGAGTAAGTTTCCATATTTTTGGTTAAATTGTCTCAAGATTCGATCTCTGAAAATTTTTTGCAGCGAAATTATTCGTTCCCATCTGTCGAACCACCACGAAGCAGTACTGGTTTCCAGGCCCCAAATGCATACGTACAACAACCGTCCTCCTCTCAGGCTTCCTTTTTGCGTCAACCCATCACTACCCAACATTCTCATCTCATTGCAGCTGCAAATCGAGCCGTTCAAATGTCTTTCGAGCCAACGAGACCCTCTTACAGCACCATCACATCCCCAAGGGACCAAATGGGCAGCCAGCCATTCTCTGGAGCCGATGGCCACAATCTGGCGGCCGAGATGAACTGGCGGCCCGCGGGCCGCATGCGTGGGGCTCTTTCCGGGCAGGCCTACACGGAGGCGTATAACCAGGCCATGAGCCGCCCGGTTCAGCCGGTGGCTCAAGGTGTTAGGCCAGTCCCAACCGTGACCTCCTCCATGCTGGACCCACCTCCAGGCTACGTGGCGGCTGGTGGTGGTGCTGCTGTTCAGGGTGTGCCAGCTGGCAGTGTTCAGGGTGTTCCGGCTCAGAATCATGTGTTGTCCGGTGCAGGAGGACCAAGTGGAGGACCCGTGGGTTCGGGTGTTGGGCCTGGCGGGTCGGCTGGCATGGGCTGAGTTTAAAATGGTGCAATTTTTTCAGTGGCATATTGTTCTCGGGCTGGGATGTGTTCTGACTTTTTTAGCTGACTGAGCGGTTGGATATAATTTTTTTCCACGCTTCATTCTCGCTAGATATATATTTTTTTTCTTGATGTATGATTGGCCACTTTTTTATTTTATTTAAAAAAGTATTTATTTAATTTTATTTTTTATTCTCAATATTGTCAGTATAATAATATAATGAAAATCAATTATTGTTACATATTTTGTAATAAAACTTGCTATTCACAAATTAAAAATTGCTACACAAATTCACATATTTTTAAAAATGATTATTTATATTTATTTTATTTATTATGTTAACTTTTTAGTCAATACATTTTATTTTATATTCATTTACAAACTCAAAATATTTCATGTTTCCACATTTTTTTCAACTCCTTAACTGCTTTTTCCATTCAAATATTTTTTTAAAAAATAATTTAATTTATATCTAGTGGCTGTAGCGTGACACCTTAGATTAGATTATTTTGGATATTTTAGAACATATATCATAAATTTAATTTTACTGGAATTTTTCGCTTCACATTTTATTTACATGATTTATTCTAATTTTTATTTATAATTTAATATTGATAATTGAAATATTCAATTTTACTATGAAGTCAATTGTTGGGTCAATAGTGGAGCCAACCTTCTATATACAACAATAGAGCTAACTGTTAGACTTCATATTAAAAATGTGAGAAATATTATTAAGAAAACATTGATAATAAATAAAAATAATTCCGCCACCACGAGGCTTTAGCACAAACAAAAAACTTCTAATTTAAATTTTTCTCAAAACCCCGTGCTCCACGAGCCTCACACTTCCACAGTACCATTTAACGCCTTAATTTACACCCTCCAAACCACCGTGCCAAGCCACACGCGCCTCCGCACGCACTCACACACAGCTCCCGTCACCTCTATGGCCATGGCCATGGCCAACTCCCTTGGCTGCGTCATCCCTTTTCAGCTCAGAACCTCATCTGAGCATCCCCCCTTACAGCGGCCCGGAGCGTGCTTCACGCGCCACTTGCTTCCCTCTCTGAGATTCACGTAGGCGGCGAGGCCCTTTTCCTCAACGCCGCCGGTTTTGGCGGCCGCCTACGCCGGCGCAGTTGAAGCCGAGCCGAAGCCGAGAGCAGCTGCTCCACCCGCGAAGGCTCTGCCCTTCCGCGTGGGCCATGGGTTTGACCTCCACCGGCTGGAGCCGGGCTACCCTCTCATCATCGGCGGCATCAGTATTCCTCACGATCGGGGCTGCGAGGCCCACTCAGACGGTAATTAATTCATATTTTTGGACACTATAATACTTGTGAAATTGCAACTCTAGAGGGACTGGAAAAAAAATCGATCCTTTTTACTGAGGGATTGAACAGTGAACAGTGTAGCTTGAGAGATGAAAATCCTCCATGTAGCTGATAATTGATCTTGTCCCGATATTTTTTTATGATTATTAGTTGTGATGGGTAACTGAAAAAAATCGAAAACCAATTTAGCAGTGAATGTTTCATAATGGTTTTATCATGGGAAAGAAAAATTGCTCATTTTCCAATCCCCTCCAACAAAACACCCCTCAAAGTCTAGATTTTTACGAGTCGAATGTTATCTTGTTTATAGGCGATGTGTTACTACATTGCGTGGTTGATGCGATATTGGGGGCGCTCGGGCTTCCGGATATCGGGCAGATATTTCCAGACACGGATCCTAAATGGAAAGGCGCACCATCTTCGGTTTTCATGAACGAGGCCGTGAGTTTTAAAACTGCATTTCTTTCATGCTATATATGGTTCTTGAATGCATTTAGTACTGTGAAAGGCTGCTTATATACTGCGAGTGTTCACACTAGGGGCGGTACCGTAATTAACCAACTCTTTAAGTGTGAACGCAACAAACAAAGTAATTACGGTACCGTCCCTAGTGTGAACACTCGCAGTATATAAGCAGCCTCGTCCTGCTGATGGAGATTTTCTTGTAGGGACTTGTTTATTTGTCATTCATTTTACGGTTGTGCCTGGAGGATTGTGATTAGTTAGTGGATGATTAAAGAATTAGCAACATTGGCTGGATTAGCAAATATGTAGTTTTTACGGAAGTCGTTTCACCTAAGTACATAGTTGGTTTGTGTCTCGTGAATCCATGTCCAAATTTTTGTTATGTCTATAATAGAGATTATGTTTTGATTTTCTGTCATTTTGAAAAGTGTACTCATGAGTAAGAAAAAGAGAATCAGAATAACCGTAGATTTACCTCTTTTAGCAGACCACAAAGCACACATTTTTTCAGAGAAAAATGTATGGAGAATTGGTTTGGGTTTCTAAGAAAATTGCTAATTGGTGTGAACATGTCATATAAAAGGTGCTAAAACTTAGCTTTCAAATCTATGCAGCATGAACTTCATCCATTCCCATTTTTCCAAATTCCGGAACACATTTAGGCTATGTTAGGTAACCAAATAAGCTAGAAGCTAGCTTATTTGGTTAGCTAATAAGCTTTCTGTATTCAAATAAGCTTCGCTTGGTAGGACGAACTTTTTTAAAAAGCTCGAGCTTATCTCATAAGCTTATTTGGGTAGCTTTTCAAGTAAGCTCGTTGAAATTCTTATTTCAGCTAGCTTATCAACTAATTTTACCAAAAACTTATGTAAAATAAGCCAGCTTTTCAGCTATAAGTCATAAACTATAAGCTCGAAAATCAGTTATAAGCTATAAGCTGGTTTATCAGCTATTAGCTAGCTTATCACCTAGTTTACCAAACATAGTCTTACATGTTAGGTAGCTCACTTTGTGCGTTAACTTCTCATCATTTGGATTCATTTTGAGACAGTCCAAGTACTAATCTCATTTACGTAAGAAATGCGAAGTGTAGTTTCATATTTTCTGTGTTTAATAATCTAAAGAGTACTAGATAAAAACCGAGCATATATCAACATATTTGATAGAAACGTTTACTCCAAGTGTGCATCTCTAATTTGGGTCTTCATGTGTTATGTTAGGTTCGGCTAATGCATGAGGCGGGCTATGAACTCGGCAATTTGGACTCAACACTAATTCTGCAGAGACCAAAGTTGAGTCCTCACAAGGAGGCTATCAGGGCAAATTTATGCGAGCTTCTTGGAGCCGATCCTTCAGTTGTGAATCTCAAGGCGAAAACACAAGAAAAAGTTGATAGTCTTGGCGAAAACAGAAGTATTGCTGCACATACGACTGTTCTCCTTGTGAGGAAGTAAATCATACATGACTTTTTGCCGGGCCCCTAAAGCTCGAATTCTTCTTTTGCTAGAGATGATGAAACACACATTATACTACAGGTGAACTACAACATTGTTGTTACATCACAATTCACATGGTATGAAATTTGAACATGAACTTGTGCAGAGATAAATTTTGAGTGTTGCCACATATTGATCTACATTTATCTGTATAGGTAATTTTCGACGTGTTTTACCATCAACATAAAATGTTGCTCTATTCTTTAATTTGCCTACAAATCGTTTTTCTATTTTTAAAAAGTGTGAATTGCAGTGCAGATAGAAGAACATACTCGTTAGAATTGGATATATATCTCTCTCTCCTATAGTCCTCTCATCTATAATGAGGTAAAATTTCGATCTTGATCTACTAAGTTAACCATTTTTTGAATTTTGGTGTGCTCATTTGTCCCTTTATAACTGGTCGGTTTATTTGCGTTTTTCTCGTTTTTGTTTGGAACACGACATGAAAAGAATTTAATTTTGATCCTCTGACTTGATGCCATTTTCGATTCCGATCCATCAATTTGACCAACTTCAATTTCGATACATTAAATTGCTTTTATTTATCAATTTCGATCTACTAATCATAACCGAACCAGCATGACATGATTCACTTCGCAAAAACCACCTCATATTTAATATGACATAGATTCTTTTGACAACTTCACTGAAAAAAATGAAATTAGCAATACTGATAGTGAAAACAGAGACAATTTATTGTTCACATCGAATAAGATCCTCAACATTAAAACACCAGTCTCCTCCTATAGACTAACAAATAACACAAAAACCTGGGTTCTCCTCTGTGCAGTAAACATGATGGTACTGCACGCTTTGAGGATAGTACTTTTGCAGCTTGAGGAGCTCATCAATTATTTCACTTTCTTTGGCCCCATCATTTTTCAGACCATCATCTCCACTTTTCTCTTCTTTTTCCTTTTCCTTAGCAGGCTCTTTAGCTGGGCCCATAGTCAGCAGCTCTGTGTGAAAAAATCTCCTCAATTTGGCTACTATACAAACTGGGTCAACATCCCCCTTTACTGTTAGCTTTTTCTCCTTCATGTCTATAGCAAGAAACTCAATCCCTGAATGTGTTGCACATTTTATAAGATACTTAAACACAACATAAATGCTACTGTTAGGCAGTCATATTATAATTCTTCTTTCTAGAGCAGCTAGAAAGAGATTCTTTAACCCGAAATAATCCAGTGCAGATGTAGGATACATTTCCCGAGTTTTCACATCTCAATCATAGATGATGGAATGATCAAAGATTTGACCCTTTTGAATTTTTTCGCACGTTTTAGTAGTAATAAATAAATGTACACTTATACTATGAAATGTCATATTTACTTTTATATTGTATTTTAAAAATATGCCATTTGAGTATGATAATATTTATGGTTGTCTAATAGTTAGACAGTCTAACATACGACCAACCGATTATAAAATTAATTAATTGAAACCGGCTATTAAAGAGTATTAGGGGACAATTTATAAAAATAAACAATTCAACTTTATAAATTTAAGGAAAAATAATGGGTATGTTTGATATTATTATAGTGAACAAGATGAGTGTTATAGTAATTAGTTGCATATGCANAAAAGAAAAAGAAAGAATGAAATTCAGTACCATAAAGGCTAGAAACTGTCTTCATTGCCTTTTGCTTCTGTTTCTCATCATGAATTAGAACCTTTAGTTCCACTTTCTGCAGGTTTAAAAGGGGGATTTCAATAGTTATAACCATAGGATTGGAAAGAAAACAAAAAAATAAAATAAACTAATAAGATTGTTGTTATGATGGTCTAACGCTTAGTTATAATTTTAATTTTAAACTGTAATGCCCTAAATATGCGTTTTATAGTGAGTGAGCAAATCTTTTGTGTACTATATTCTATGGTAGAAGTTGTGGTGTAATTTCATTGTTTGATGATTAAGAGCTTTGATAAGTTGGCTACTTCCAAAATTATATAAAACAAAAGACGAACTATTCAACTCGGCGTGTGAGGTGGGCTAATTAATTAGGGGAAGGACTTAATAAGACTTATATATTGAAGTTGGGAATGATAACAACGTTTTTTCTCTTTTATTTTTATTTTAAGAAAAACACAATGTATTGTGAAAATTTGTGGAGAGTATGTATGTAGAGTAACGTAAATGTGTAAGAACACATGAATTAAAAGCCAAAGCAACTATTTTTTTTAGAGTGTCCCACTATCCTCACTTTCATTAGCAAACCGGTCGCCCATACTGCTGATAAATTAATCGAGCCAAGGCTCGAGCTCAGCTCGAGGCCTTAACGAGCCGAGCTCGAGCTCATTTAAAGCTCATTTGGTTAATGAGCCGAGCTCGACTGGGCTCGTTAAGGCTCGAAAAGAGAATTTTTATATAATTTTCTATAATTCGACTCCTTAAAGCCAGAGCCGGCTTTTGGGGGGAGCAGGGTGAGCAACTGCACAGGGCCCCCAATTAATTGGGGCCCCATATATAAATATTAAAATATTATATATATATATATAATAATATAAATAAAAAATATAATAATATATTAAATGACATTCATGTTAGAACATCATAATCTTGTTTTTGTTGTATTTTGTGGATACGAGGACATCTTGTTTTAGTTGTATCGTTAAATATTTGTATTTTATTAATAAAATATTAAAAATATATTATTCAATATTGTAATTAGGGAGGCCTAATTTTATTTTTCGCTCTGGGCCCAAAAAATGTTAGAGACGGCCCTGCTTAAAGCTCGAGATCGACTCGCTAAGGCTTGAGTTCGAGCTCGATTTTTAGCTCGTTTATTTAACGAGTCGAACTCGAGTTCGATTTCTGGCTCGTTAAGGGCTCGAGCTTAGCTTGAGTCGTTTACAGCCCTCTCGCGCACATGATGTATAGTTTGAAATTACAAGTATATGATTCTCATAAACCAATCACAACAATACATTGACCACAACTATTTAGAATTCCTCCAAGTTGATAAAATACTTAATCTCTTAGTACCCAAGAATTACGAGAATAAACACATTCAGTTCTTCGTAAGAATACAAAACTGAATTATTGAATATCTAATCAATGGAAATATAAAACAACTCTCAGAAACAAATAAATCAGTACAAATCGTAATTAGCAATATGACATAGATTCTTTTTGATTCACTTCACCAAAACCACCTCATATTTAATATGACATAGATTCTTTTTGATAACTTCACTGAAAAATTAAATAGCAATACCGAAAACAGACAGAAAAATTATTGCTCACATCGAAAAAAGATCCTCAACATTAAAACACCAGTCTCCTAAAACTAAAGAATAGCACAAGTACTTGGGCTCTCCTCTGGGTAGTGGAAATGATGGTACTGCATGAATTGAGGATAAGGATAGGCTGGATAGTACATTTGGGCCTCATCATTTTTCAGACCATCAGATCCACTTTTCTTTTCAGGCTCTTTAGCTGGGCTCTTTTCATTTTCCTTTGCAGGCTCTTTAGCTGGGCCCACAGTCAGTACCTCTGTGTGAAAGAATTTCCTCAATTTCTTTGCTATTAAAACTGGGTCAGCGTCTCCCTTTACTGTTAGCTTTTTCTTCTCCATGTCTATAGCAAGACACTCAATCCCTGAATGTGTTACAAATTTTATAAGATGTTTAAACACGAAAAATGTTTTGATTTGAACCCATAAGTAGAAACCCATATTTTTGCTAGAGAATTCCTAGATAGAGATTCTTTAACCCGAAAGAATCTCCATTCCAAAGTAATTAGTAATTAGTTGAATATGTGATGTAGGGAAGCGTACGAATGGGAAAGATAAACGAACGAGATACTCGCTCGATAAAACTCACAATCTCATTTTTCATTCAATAATCAACTAATGAAAATAAACTAGAGGGAGTCCTTTATATAAGGCTCCTAACCCTAGACCTAACTTGTCCAACAAGACAAGAGCTCTTATTAAATATTAAACAATTCATAACTTATTCTCTAAGATATCTAATAATAATAATAATAATAATAATCATAGATATGTCTACACCATTCTCCCCCGGTTGAGCAGGATTCGCCCTCGAATCCGACCTGTTCCCGTTGGAGACGTCCTCAAGACAGCAACAGCCCGAACGTTTCCCCCGATCGAACACGAAGGTTGAAAGTCGTCCAACAATCTCGAAGGTAAACATAATCTCGGTCAAGAATTCAACTGCCGCAAAGTCACATGTACACGACACCCGACGCAAAGCCCACACAACTGAATGAACACAAAACAGACCACATCGTTCACCGCGCATAAATCTACAATTACGGCCAAGCATTCCGGTGTTGGGAGACTGCGGGAACAACAATCGAAAAATGGCCCACCAGTTATGGAGTCTCGACTTCGGCTCCGAAAAACCATCTTTGGCTAAAATACTCAAAAAATCGGGTGTGAATGACGGCTGCCCATTCGAAGACTCAACAGTTGCGACGTCCCACGCGGGACCCATATTACTGCAAAAATATGTCTCCGTCACCGAAGGCTCTTCATCAAAAATTGGCGGACCGTCGTAGATATCGCACGTGTCGGGCTCAAAATTCAGGTAATCTATAAACTCGAAATCAAAACCTGTTTGTGTCTGTTCAGGCCCAAAATAAGGATTAAATTCATCCTTCCCCTCAGCCCAATAGATTGAATTGGACGCAGGCCCAAAAACGACATCACCCTCACAAGCCCCAAAAATGCTTTTGTGAGGCCCAAAAGTGCAACAGGAGTCGTCTCTTTCACAAGCCCAAAATCCGCCTCCATGTACGAAACTACCTCCAGCCCGCCATTGCTCGCGAACTCGGGGTTGACCTGTGGTTTCGTCTCCTCGCCATGGTGGTCGATCTGCCAACGGGTTAGCCGACCAGGTAAAGTCACCATCCTTGATGCCGTTCAGAGGTGGCGGGGATCGCTGCCGGGGCGCCCCGACATGGCTGCGTCCCCCACAACCGCCTCTGTCTCCCCCGCGAAAGCCACGGCCCACAGCCCCATCGCGGTTCGTCTGCAATTCCGAAACAATCACGTTGTTAAGCGTCAAATGCACATCCTCGATCCCCATCGAAAGATCGGCAAACCAATCCGTGAAACGCACGTCCAATTGTTCAAATCGGTAGTCGATCTGTTGAAACCGATCGTTGAAGGTTGCGTCACGTCGTTCGTCTGCGGCATCTTCTCGTCCCGGCGACATCGCGAATCGTACTGACTGCTGATACCAACTGATGTAGACATATCTATGATTATTAATATTATTATTATTAGATATCTTAGAGAATAAGTTATGAATTGTTTAATATTTAATAAGAGCTCTTGTCTTGTTGGACAAGTTAGGTCTAGGGTTAGGAGCCTTATATAAAGGACTCTCTCTAGTTTATTTTCATTAGTTGATTATTGAATGAAAAATGAGATTGTGAGTTTTATCGAGCGAGTATCTCGTTCGTTTATCTTTCCCATTCGTACGCTTCCCTACATCAGTTGGTATCAGAGCCAGCCCATGTGCCAGCGGTGACCGCTGGGCCCAAGGGGGGGTGGATGATGCAGCGCATCCCACATCGGGTTTGAAGGGAAACGAAGCAGGCCTTATATGAGGGTGTGGATACCTTCACTAGTAAGACGCGTTTTGGTGGGTGTGTATTGAAGCCCAGCCAAGAACAAAGCCGTGCGGGTGGCGGAAGTAACCCAAAGCGGACAATATCTTACTAGGGTCTGCGCCAATATGGAATACAAGATGAGTTTTATAGTAATTAGTTGAATATGGAATTGAAAGGAAAAAAAAAAAAAGGGTAAAATTCAGTACCATAAAGTTTAGAAACTGTCTTCATTGCCTTTTGCCTCTCTTTTTCATCATGAATTAGTACCTCTAATTCCACTTTCTGCAGGTTGAAAAGGGGGATTTCAATAGATAAAATAATAAGATTGTTGTTATGATGGTCTAATGCTTATGCAATCATACTTTTAAATGTAATGTCATAAATATGCATTTATTTAAAAAATAAGAAAAGTCGACCTGCGATTAGATTGGCCCACACAAAAATGAGTGAAAAAAAACATGGAAAAAAAAAAATCTAGATCGAATGCATCATGTCCATTGGAGGTAAATTTATGGAGAAATAGAACAAAAAGGGAAAAAAAAAAATCTGCATGCATATGGGGTAAGATTAAATTATGCATTAACTTATAAACAATAATCAAACAAAACTTTAACATTAAAATAAAATTGAAATGATAAGAAATGGGAAGGAAATCTCACTTTGGCCATCTAAGAGAAAGTTGAGAATACGTTGATTTTGTGTGGAACTTGAAAGAGCCTTTAGGAAATACAATGAAATGGATCTTAACTTTTAAAGTTCTGAGATTGTGTGCAAAAATCAAAATACAATGATAGAATATATATACGTGTGCGTGTGTGTGTGAATGAGTAAATGTAAATTTTGTGTGTACTACTTTATGGTCTGTGTTAGAAGTTGGGGGGCAATTTCATTGTTTGACTATAGTACTATGATAAGTTGACTACTACTAAAATTATATAAACCAAAAAACTAATTATTCAACTCGGAGTGTGGGGTGGGCTAATTATTTAGGGTAACGACTCGATAAGACATATATTGAAATTGGGAATGAGAAAAACGTGTTTTTTCTTTTTTCCCAACACTACGTATTGTGAAATTTTGTGGGGAGTATGTAGAGCAACGTAAATGTGTAAATAACACGTGAATTAAAAGCGGAGTATTAAAAATGGGTATTAGTGTATTACTAATTTGATATTAAAAATATGTCAAGTAAAGAGTTTTTAGGTAAATATTAGTTATTAATTAAAAATATAAGATGAGATGGATATTAATATATTATTAATTTGTCATTAAAAATATGTTAAAGTAAGAGTGTTTTAGGTAGTTCATATTTTATGTCTTTTTTAACTGTACGTAAATAGGTATATATTGATAATTTTATATGTTCGTCAATTAGAATTTTTTGTTCATACAAAAATTGTAGAAAATATATATATTATTTTTGATGATTTTTTTTTATGTTGAAATGAGAAAAATATGGTACAAATTTAGTTCTTTTAGTGACGTAAGAACAACAAAGCTGAATTACTGAATATCTAATCTATGAAAATATAAAACAACTTTCCCACTCTCTCAAAAACTATCTTTAACAATAAACTCGGTACAAATCATAATTGTAGCATCACACCTTTGATTCTTCGTGATGATATATATGCAATCTCCAAGTTGGTAGGTCGTCTTTATATTTCCATATCTTGAACGTCCTTCTATATGAAGTTGACTTGTTTCCAAATTAGACCAGCTTCTTTGTTCAGAGATACTCAAAATATTCGTTCAATAATTGTGTCCCAGTTTATTATTGATTTTCGAATCTTGGTCATATGTTCATCAATATCCTCATGGCTTAATTCTGATTTTTTTCATAATGCGTGCAAGACTTTCTTGTGGTTGATAAGCTCATTCTCCTTTGAATAAGTCATGTTTCCTTTATCTACGAGAATAAAGAAACTACTTTCTCTTATATCAATAATAGAGTACCTTCGATTTTTATGTTTTTCTGAGTGATTAAAGGCAATGGGATTTTTCTTAGCCTATTTTCAAGTCATCTGGGGTCTTACTGTTTTCGTCCTCTACTTAATTAGGAGCCTGCGTTTCATGACTTTTCTCATGTCTGCACATTTAAGGATGTTTCTAGTTTGTAAGTCCAGTCCAGTGATATACAAAACATTCCATTTATGGAATAATATATTTTTTTTTCTATGATTCCTTTTTGGAAATATCATGAAGATGTGGTAACATGTGAAACACGGTGAAAATAATATGCAGATGACAACAACCCAAAATTACTAGACCAAAACGTGAAATAAGATTTATCAGTGAATATTCTTCAAAATTTTCATTTTTTCCAGTTAAACAAGATACCAATTGGGTAAACTTACAAAATATAATCAATAACTTTGGGACGAAAAGCGAATTTAGATTGCAGATTCACCAGTAATTTTTCAGATAGTAGAAATGTTAACTAACTAATTGAATTGTAAATATTCTATCCAATTACATGGTCAACGATCATTTATGCAATTAATTAGAGGTTATTTTATCATTTTTTATTTTTTGATACTATTTCTTAATTAATTTAATGGAAATTTTCTACATTCAAGGAAATTTAGTGGATATTTGATATGAACAATAGTAATAGCACGACTTATGAATTACGATAGAATGCAATTGATAATCCACCTTACATTGAATCACTTGATATTTTCATTCATTTCAATACTTGTAAATTGCAATAACAATAAACAAGAAACTACAAATATAAATTAATCTTAAAAACATGACTATCATTACATTTTTATTTTATCCAAACACATTCCAAATTGTAACCCCAATATTTTGCTACTCCATAACAAAGAAATCAAGAACACAACCCACAAATCATCTAATAACAAATGTAACCCCAATACTTGCTACTCCATAACTAAGAAATCAAGAACACAAACCACAAATCACCTAATAACAAATATAACTCCAATATCTAATATGTTGGCTACTCCACAACTAATAAATAAACAACACATACCTAATAACAAACGTAACCCCAACATCTTGGCTACTCCATAACTAAAAAATCAACAACACAATCCACAAAAATCACCTAACAATAATAACAAATATTAATAGTAACAACACTAACAACATCCTTCAACCTTAACCAGTTCCAAATAAACTCAGAACCTTGATAATAATCACACAATTTGAATCTCAAATTGGAAAGAAGTATAACATAAAAAAATTAGAAAAAAAAATGTTAATTCAAACTAATATGGGACCGGAACAGAAGACTTGGTAACTTGATCAAGCACATCAAGAATCTCCGCCCTACTCCTCACCATCCTATGAAACACCTCCCTCACCTGCTTCTTCAGCGGCCCCAACCCTTCCTCCATCCTCCGGCAAACCTCCGCCATCTCCTCCACCGTGGCCGCCACCTCCGCCGCCCTCTCCTCCTCCATCGGGTACACGAACCCCTCCGCCATCTCCGCCAGCGCCTGCGCCGCCTTCTCCATCCTCACCACCTCCTCCAATAAACCCGCCCCTCCCACCTTCTCCTTCTTCTTCCACTCCTCCCCGATTTTCTCCACGAGCCCGGCTATCGGTTGGGCCCAACACCCGCCTGGCCCACGGCCCGCCGGCGCCGGCACGTGGGCGGGAAGCCCGACCCTGTCCTGGCAGGGGACGGCCGCGGCGAGCGCCCACATGGTGAACACGAGCACGGTGCTCATGATGTAGACGGGCTGGGCGGGGCCGGAGGAGTCCGTGCCGCGTGGCGCGACGAGGTTGGCCGACATGGATTGGATCTGCTTGGCGGCGGACCATGACCGGGATTTGGGGGAGGAGGATTTGAGGGAGGAGAGGAGGGAGGAGAGGGAGCGGAGGGAGCGGCGGACGTGGCCGGAGGTGAGGGGAGAGGGGGAGAGGGAGGAGAGGGAGATTCGGGCGAGGAGGAGGGAGATTGAGGAGAGGTGGTCGAGGGCGAGGGAGACGGAGGTGAGGAGGTCGAGGGATTTGAGGGTGCGGTCGAGGAGGTCAGGGATGAGGCGGTCGAGAGGGGGACGGGAGAATTGGGAAGGGTCGCGGTCGAGGATGAGGACGGCTTTGAACTCGGCTTCGCAGCAGAGGAAAGTGTCGAGGAGGTCGCGGAGCCAGGGGATGGAGAGGAAGGGAGGGGGTGGTCCTGGAGGAGGTTGATTGTCGGGCGTGGTGGTGGTGGAGGAGGGATCGGAGGAGGGAAGGAGGTAGGAGAAGCGGATGGAAACGTGCTTTTGGAAGAGTTCGAGGTCGTCGAGTTCTTGGTCGAGGGGGACTTGGTTGCGGCGGATGCTGATGAGGTTGAGGAAGGAGGATTGATCCATGGTTGGTGATGGGAGTGTGTGTTTGGATTGAGGGATTAATTGGGGAGGAGAAGAGAGGAGGAAATGAAGAGGAGTTAGATGATGATGTTTGTTAGTTGTTTGTTGTTAGTTGTGATTTTTGACAGGGAAAATGGATGGATGGATGGATGGATGGTTAGTTAGCATAGTTTGTGGGAGGCGTTACCGGTTATTTCTTTATGTTTTGAGAGGATGACTAGGTGCTTTCTCCCTTTCTTGTAATTCTTTTTTTAAGTGAAATGACAATATTATTATTATCTACTAGTACGTTACTCGTGCACGGCAGCATTTATTATTTATATATTTTTTAAAAGTATTTATGTATTTAAATTATCTCATGTCATTAAAAATTTCATGAAATTTATATGTTATTAAACACTTCCTTATGTACAACATTACTGATTTGATTATTTAGCACGTAAAGTACTACATATGTGTTCGAATTTATCCAAAATTGCATATTATTAGTTATTAGTTAACAAATTTAAAAAAAAAAATTAAAATATCTTATTTATTAAACAAAATTAAAATAGTAAGAAAATAGAATTTTTTAGGGATTTTCACCCATTATTTATTTTAAATCTAATTCAAAATTTCAATTAAGAAAAATTGAAAACAATCATTAGTTACTCCTGGAAATGAAACCGATTTTTCTACCAATAAACTGATTTTTTTATCAAACAATTTGATCTGAATTTTTTTTAAACCAAATAAAAAAATCATCATTTTTTCCTAAAAATGCAACCAAATTTTCCTAACATTGCACCAATTTTTGTACCAAGCAAATTGAATTGAAAATAATTATAATAAAAAATTAAAATATATTGTTAATGTTTATGCAATTGTCTCTTTCCTAAAGAAAATGATATGAACTTAACCAATAAAAAAAAATTGATATGAACTTACCAAAATCTCGGTAAAACATATTTAAGAAAAAACATAAGAATCCAAAAAAATCGCTGCATTTAAATTTTGAAAAGTTGCACACAATTTTTCCTAAATAATTGGATAAGGGGACTTTAAATATCAATGATGAACCGGTTTTGTTACCAAAAAATGTGGACACAATTTTGAATGTACATCCCGTCTAAATATCAGTTTTATTTTAAAATAAAAATTGCACGTGGCTTTATTCAATTTACACACTTTTTTTGAAAGAAAAAATTATCCAAGAAGATTGGAAGAATTGGTTAAGAATTATATAATTATTTGCTTTCTAAATTTGTATCCAATTTGCACGGTTTTTAAATTAATTTGTATTTAGAATTGTTTTCATAAATGATTGACACATTTTTGCATGAGAATCTTCAAATTTGTTACAAAAAAGATATGATTTAAATTTTGGTAAAAAATTAAAATATGATACGAAAAAAATGGGATTCAAATTTTTCCATAAGAATTTCCAAATTTGTTACCAAAAAAATAGGATTTATATTTTGTTACTACAGATTCACATGTGTTTTTTGAACTTTCCATTAATAGTAAGTCAAACATTATATTTATTTAGTCAAACTTTCTATTAATGTATTTTTTCAACAACCTCTTTATATATATAGATTGTGTTTATTGAAAATTTACAAAAGAGTATTATTGAGTATTAGAACACAATCATTATTTGAGTAAGTCTTTCAAGAAATCCATAGTAAGTCTTCAAGAAATCTATATTTGAAATAAGTTAGATTGAATATGTATTCACCATCCTTTCTAATAGGTCTCTCACATTCGTTGATACATTAAATTATTATTAAAATATTAAATATAATTAAACTTATAATTGAGACTAGTTAGATTGAATTTAAGAACAAAAATTATTATTAAACTTTAAATTTAGATAGTTAACAATAAGAGGGAATTATAAGTTTGATGGATGAAAACTAAGGTACAATTACATTTATCTCACGTTACTAAATGTTGATTGTATCAATACATCTTATTTTTATTACCAAAATTATACATATACTTCTATAATGTTCAACGGCTAAGTGAATATATTTTAGGTTTCGCTTCTAAGATGCCAACAAAATTCTATAATGTTCAATGAGAGTCCCTCGTGTGATTTCCCAACCGACCAATGACGTCATAAATCACCCGTCTTTCACGATACTCGGTCTCACCCAGTCACCCGTGCACCATGCCACCATGAACCTCATTCACGAGTAGCCCACAAAATGACACTTGCCGAGTGGTTGTGTTCGGTCCTAACATAGCGAAACGTATAAACAAGATTGGACTGGAATTTTCGAGTCTTCTTATTTTTTTTAATTAAAAATCAACAAACCTAATAACAATGAAGTGAAGTCTTAAATACTAATAGCTTGATTGATATAATAAAATGGCGTGATTGATATAATAAAATGAAATTCGATAGGAATTAAATGAGTTAAAAAAATGGTATGAAAAATGAATGAAACAAGTTAATCCATTAATATGTTCGGTATACAGAAATAATAAGACCTGAATGGAATGACATTATCATTCTATATTATCATTTATTACTATTTGATAGAAAAAAAAAAGTAATATTTATATTAATGTTATATTTTTTATTTATGATAATCATAAAATTATTTTATTTCTGAAAGAAAATTTACTATATTTTAATAAATATATTTTGCATTGTTACACTCATATATATTATATAATAAATTAGTGAATTGTGTATTCATATACATATTGACTAATACAAATATCATTACATAAACCCATCGAATATGATTTTTATATTATAATTCAATTTATGAATAAATATATAATATATATAATGTATAAAAATGAAATAATATATTTTTAAATTATTTACAAATGTATTTTTTTTAGTTTTATTGGTATATAAGTATTTAGTATATCTAATTAAAATATAAACAATAAATGAAAATAAATTGTTAAATTTTTATTAGAAATTTATTTTTTAAAACAATTTATTTATAGTATATATAATATATTTATTTTTTATTATTATTTTTTAATTTTATCTTTTGAAAACTTGATTCCTACAAATATGAGAATGAAAAAACCTTGCATTAGCTATGAAATGGCTAATTCTAAGGAGATGAATTTTGCAATGCTATTGGAATGGTCATTCCTTAAAATAAATATACCAATCAGGGTATAAGGAATGAGTAAGGAAATGATTATTCAATTCTCATGTCACTCATTCGTACCTATTATGTCAGAAGGGCTTCTCCAGTCCAGCCCCACAATGCTATACTCTACTTCATGGAAAAAAAATATACCAATCATGATATAAAGAATGAGTAAGGGAATGATTATCATTCCCATGTCATTCATTTGTACCCAATCATGTCACAAGGGCATCTCCAGCCCTGCGCCACAATGCTATAGTCTACTTCAGAGTAGTACGAAAAAACTTGCTCCATGTAACACGGTATCATTCGACATGCTACAATTTTTTTCTTCAAATTTTAAATTTTTAATCGATTTTTATTTAAAATATTATTTTGGTAAAACATACATCAATAAAATTGTTTATTTTGTTAAATAATTTTAAATTTTATTTTGTACTATTATATTTCATGTAGAATAAAATATAATGCGAAGACAAAAGATAAATTTTGACATTCTCTACTTGGAGTAGAGTAAACTAATACTTATTTTGGTATCTATTAATATATAATACAGAGAAGAAAAAATATTTGAACAATCCGAAAAAAAAAACATTTCGTTTTCCCGCTTAGAAATGCTTAGAAATCATGTTTTCCCCGCTTACATATTTTGTAAATTGTTTGAAATTGTATTTTTGTCGGCCATGTCTTCAAATTTGTTTTTGGCTGTATTTTAGTGCTCCGATTAAAATGGGGCTGAATTTTAGCAATCAGATAAGATTAATCATATTTGTTTGTGGCTGGATTTTGTTGCTCTGATTTATATGGATCTGATTTTGTGCGGATGAATTCTTTTAAAACTGGGGGCAAAATATCTTACAAAAATATGTTTATTAAAACTGAAAAATCAAAATTATTGAGAGATTTCAAATCGAACAACAGATTTTTAACAAAAAATTCCAAGCAAATCGAACAAAAAAATCCCTAAATCGAATAAAAAAAACCTAATTTTGAAGAATCTTCAAACCTTATAAAGCAAGCATAAAAATCCCTAAATTTAACTAAAGTACAATAAACAAAATTTCGTTTTCGACAAAGAAACGAATGATTCTTTTTAAGAATCATAATAATCGTTAAGAAATCGTACAAAATCGATCAAAAATTTAAAGATTTAAAATGAGTTCTAATCTTCATTCGAACAGATTTAAAAAAAAAAACAAAAAACAAAAAAAATGTGATGAACGAACCTAAGATTGATATGATAAAATACATGGATTCGAACAAAAGTAATACAACTAATCTATATAACAAACCTAAAATTGAAAGTAATTTTTAGGTTCAATAAAAAGAACAATAAATTTTGACCAAAAAAACTGAAAGAAGATGAACAATAAAAAAAAAAATAGTTGCGGCGAAATGAGGAGAGAATGCCCGATAGGTTTCCCGATTTTTTCAGATTTTATACTAACCCTTAAATCAATCTCCGTTAACTTTGTTTTAACAGTCGGATCTTCTTTTTTGGTTGATGGGCAATTCAGTCTTGGGCCAATAAAATCTAATTTTAATGTGCTTAGTATAAGATAATGTAATGGGTCGGCGTTATTTGGGCCGATTAAAATAAATATTGTTCTGTATAATATCAAGCCACTTTAATATTACCACATTATTAAATATTAAGCCCATTTAAATAGTATTAATATATATTTTATTATAAATATTTTTTAAATTATGTTTGAATTCAATTATTATGGTTTGTATATAAATTATTTATTTGTGATGCTTAACTAATATAAATTTGAATTCAATTTTGTATTATTTGTATATAAATTATTTATTTGTGATGCTTAATTAATATAAATTTAAATATGACTTTTTTCAGGTTGTTTGTGGCCGTTGCCAGTCAATGGATCATAATATATA